CTCTGCCATCCAGCCAATTCCTAATCCACTTCACTGTCCACTCATCTATCCCCCACTTCCGGAGCTTGCCCAGAAGGATGCTGTGAGGGACGGTGTCAAAAGCCTTGGTGACGTCGAGATGAACCACTTCCACTGCTCTCCCCTCATCTATCCAGCTGGTCATTCCATCATAGAAGGCTATCAGGTTAGTCAAAGCATGATTTCCCCTTGCTGAATCCATGCTGACTGCTCTTGAGCACCTTCTTGTCCTCCACATGCCTGGAGACAACGGCCAGTAAGAAATCAAACTAGTGTTAGTTTTTAGATTACAAGATTTAAGACCAAAAGAATCTCTGAGAATTGATTATATAGAGGAATGGTTAGAGAGCCGTGGACATGGCTGCCCAGCAGGCCTGCTCAATCCGGGCTTTCAGGGTTCAGTGAAAGCACAAAGGGACTGCGAACTAGGAGATAAGGAAGTAGACCAAGGTCAGCGGGAATAAAAGAGCTGTTGAACTAAAAGGATGAGCTAAACAAGTAAGGAGGGCTGTAAGGGTCTTAGATCATTGTCTACCAATTAGGAGCCTGTGTAATTACATCACTAACTGCTAGAATCATATAAATGTACTGCATGTAAGCTAATAAAAAAAGTCAGTTCCAGCTTCTATGAAGTTGCTGGCTGGCGTTCCTGACCCGCTCCAAGCTGCAACATGATTAGACAGCACATTACTCCCAGAGATACAGATTTGTCCAAATCCTTATTTTAGAAATTAATGACATTTCAGAAATAATTTGCATTAAGCAAATTACAGCAGGTACTCTTACAGCTGAGAAATATGGAAATTACACAAGAATAGTCCAGTGTTATGGTGGTGACATACAATTTCAGTCCTAAATTTCAACACTGTTCTGCTACTTCTCAAATAATCTACAGACAAGTTCTAAAACCCTATTAGAGGCCAACTTGTACTTTTGGCCTCAGTCCCCAGTTCTCATGTGCACACTGTGGTATGTTATCTATCCTCCAGAAGCAACAAGATCCTAACTACATTAGGAAATCTGGCTATTTAAGCATCTTTAATGACCACAAAACTTAGATTTCTTCTACTAAAGCCCTGATATACTGTTAACAAATTGTTCGTAACAGTGGAGTATTTCAATCAAAATATTTTTTTAATGAGCATGAAATTTTAACTACAAGAACCAAAAAAAAAAAACCTAAAAGAACTCTTGCTCTTAAGATTTATAGTGCCTGACAACATAATCTAGATAAAGCAAGACAGTGAATTCACTGTGCCATTTATTTTCATTTTCAAGGTCAAGTGAATTTCATTTCTAAATTCTAATAAAATACAGATCCTCTTAAAATAAAACAAAATTTCATTAAACAAGCTTACTTCATCATAATGCAGCCAAGTACTTTTAACTCTGTGTGTGTAACAGGAAAAATAAAAAAAAATGCTTTTTTAAAATATAATTAGGACACATTTGAATCCTAAAAGGGATCCCCATTCTATTTCACTGATGATACAGAATATCAACAGAATATTTTTACTCGCTAGGTGAGCCACTTTGGCCCCATTCTGCCAATACGGCTGAAATCTTAAGCTTCAGAAAAACACAAGAATCAAAAAACAAATCCCAAGGTGTAGGAGAAATTAAGTTTATATGATAGGAATAGATCCTCCCTGAGATTTTCTCAAAGAAGCTCTAAGTTCCTAAAGGAAACAGACACAGTTCCAGACAGCAAAATGCCAAATACTCCCATCTTACACTACTTAATCCTCTCAGTGACACAGGCTGAAATACTGAAGGCAACAGGGGTTTTGAGACTGGTCTTTCTAATAGCTGGTTAAAATTTCTTATTGTTTGTTGCATTGACTGGATCACCAACATGCCAATTAACAAGGCAGGTTAGAGTCACAGGACTGCTATTTTTTCTTCTTTCAGCATTTTCAGTGATTCAGTCCATTCACGTTCTCAACACTTGCAAAAACAAGCTACTTCAGCCTGCAGCTGGGTCTTTAGCCTCTGTACCTACCAGTAACAGCACAAAAAACCCAACCAAACAAATGAACAAAAAGAAACAACAGGCAGCAGACCAAACACCTCTGTGACAGAGGCTAGCCTTGCCAGAGCAAGATTCAATAATGCAGTCATTTCACCAGGGCAGCCTACTTAAGATTTAGTAGAAAAACACTACTACTATTAACCTAAACACTCAGAGCTAATTGGGCATTTTCACAAAAATAAGAATCTGTTTAATACTAAAGTTCATGAACAGAGACAGACTTAAGTGAATACATACAGACTAATCAAATGATTAAATGGAATTTTGAACGATCCATTGTGTATTTCCTCTCACTCCCAAATGTAGAAAAAAAAAAATCACTGGGGCTTTTAAAGACCAAAACCTGACTTCTATTATAAAAAACATGTTCTGGATGTTAATAAGTTTCTCTGAAATTCCACATCAAGCTCCCTTGGGATCTGTGGTGAGCTCGTATTAGATTAGCATAGGCACCAACATTAAATACTACCAGAGCTCTAAGCTGTGCATTTTCTTTTGTCTTCCCCTCATCGCATTCCTTTCTTCCAGAAAATTTTCTTTAGAAGAGTATCTATAAATAAATAAAAAATAAAACTTGTAGTGGTTTAATGCACTACTCCACTCTTTTTACTTAAAAAAATAAATAAAAACGAAAGGCCCCTAATTTTGTTAAAATGTCATTTGGCCTACCAGTTTAAATATGACAGAAAAGCTCTCATAATAAGAAATCTTTCTATCTAGTAACAGCTCCATAACTTAAGAAAGAGTCTATCTCAACAGAACGTATGACAATCATTAAAGTATCTTAATCAGTAAAGTATCTTAAGACAAAATATACTAGCTTATCCTTATTAAAAGGAGAAACAAACAAAAAAGATCATACACCAAAGCTTTAATTAAAAAGAAGCCTGCCATATAAACACCAACTGCATTTCAGGTTCGGCATCATTTATATTTTAGAGCTAGTTATTAACTGAATTGCCAGAATTTTTTAGACTTAATCAGACAACCTGTGCAGCAAATTTGTGTTTCCTGTGGTATTTTTGGCAAGGACGAATTTTATCAAAGCATCAAATTGTACTGCTACCAGAAGGAAGATTTCACAGTAAGCCATGAAAATCCCAAAGATTGCTGTCTTAAGGCAACTGTGGTATGGGAAGGTAAAGTACAGAACAAAGAATTTTACGGCAACATCAGACTTACAAAGGGTCTCCCACAGATTCCCACTGACTCTAGATATACATTTCATAAAGTTTTTAATAGAAAAAAAAAGTCACCACTGTCTTGAAGCTTCATGTATTACAGCATAAAGCAGATCTTTGCTATCATACAACGTAGTTTTCCCAAGGACAATGACATTAAAAAAGGGAGGGGAAAAGGCAATAGTATTCACATCCTTTACCCTCTAAAATACTGAGGATGGTTCTGCGAAAACTCAAGTTTCTCCTGGAATAAAAACCCCATTTAGTTTGAAGCATGAAAGCCTAAGTTGTCTTTAAGTAAAATGAACAATAAAGAAAGTTAGCCTATATCTCCTGAATATTTTATATAATGGAAGAGCATAAGCTTAAAAATAACTTGGGTCCAGGCTGCTTGACTTTAAGCAGCTGTGTGTGTTTTAGAGCAGCTTTATTGTTGCTGTTGCTGCTCCTGTTGCTCCATGGGCTTTCATATTTCAAATTCAAATTAGACTCAGCTGTCCTTTCTATTTTAATTTCAATGACTCAAACTGGATGTTTATGGTTTAAAACTGCTCTAAAAAATAAATATATCAAATATATATGTTTATAATTAAGCATTATGATTAAATGACATCTGAAATATTGCAGATTCCACATACTTGATGACAGTATCAGCATGCCAGACTATCTCTAAGGAGGCAGCAGATAAGTGTACAAGACTTTAATGCATAAAAGCCATATGGAAGACACGACATCCCACTAAAACTAAAAGGAACTTGGTTTTTAGTCTCCTAGGTTTTTCCTCATTAACAGAACACTCTTACAATGAACAGGGTCAATATTTTAGTTTCTAAAGGCAACCTGCAAAAGTAGAATACATATCAGTCCGATTTCATAGTCTCAATCCACTAACGTGGTGCTTTTTTTCCCCTGCCCTATTTTGTACTCATCCCAAGGTAATAAAACTACAAATCTTAAAAAATAAAATAAAATTCTAAATCTTATTTAACTATTTTTATTAAGACAGTCATTATACTGTTAGGCAGGAACTACAAATGCTAATCCCAGCACTCATCCTAGTAGAGTGTATAGTACCTGTTAACAGTCTCATATAGTCAATCTATAATCAGTCTTACAAATTTGAGGGAAAAAGTCATAAATCCTACAGTCCTTATGCAGTGAAATCTAGTAATATTTAACAAGCCTGTCAGTATTCTACGAACGCATTTAAGCAAAACAGCATATAAATTCTCTTCAAGCCTACTTTATTTAGATGATCCAATGTCTCCAAGAAATTAGGCCTTAACCAACAGCTCATTAACAACAAATCCACTAAAATGGCTACATGCAGTTATGAGCTATCTCAACCATTTAAACACAGCCATTATCAATAACGGGAAGAGAGACTGCACGACTCCATCAGGCTCTCATTTAAGCAGATGAATGCCAAATCCTACTGAATCAATCTAGCAGCATTTTAGACAGACTGTGCATGAAGTGTCTCTCTGCTCTACAGAGCTGCTCGAATGTCTATTTTCAATGATTTGTTTTTATTTATTGAACAGAGATGGGCAATTTATATTTTGGGGCAGAGAAGGAAAAAATGGTGCTTTTTTTTTTTTTTTTTTCCCTTTTCAAGTTGTTGCTGAGGTTTGCAACACCTCCTTTGGCTATATGACCATCAGGAGCCTGAATGGCATACCTAAGGCTCTCTTCCCTCCAACTCTGTCATTCCTCTTGCCCTAAAACCTCACAAAAAGTGCAGAAAGAAATTTGGGGAACAGACTCCATTCAATTTAATCAAACACAGAAGAGCTAAAACTTTTTGCAAACCAAAACCATCACAATCATCCCTCCTCTACTCCTTTCACGTTCCTCGTAACACTTTTGAGCCTGTACCCTCATGTACCCATGTACCCATGCATTCCTCATGTTACGTTTCCATTGTATATCTAGAACAAACTTTTGGGGACAGAAACTAACATCTAATTTTAATGCCTATCACATTGGAGACCTGTGCTTGCTTGGCTCTCAGGTACTTTTATAGAGGTTCCCTGTCTAAACAAAAAAGGATGAACCTACTGAAATAACATGCATAGGTATTTCATTTGGATCCTATATGAGCCCTGGCACGTGAGTCATTCTTAAAAATCCGTCCAACCTATTACTATTATAAGCATGATTTTAATTCCCACTTATATGTGGCTCATTACAAAGCAACTATTTCTGCCAATGAGTAACTGTTGAGGACGCAAAGTAGTACCTTTTAAATACAAGTGTTTTCAGCTGCTCTGCTTCGCACTGTTAAGTACAAGGCATATGTTCCAAAGGCAATGATTAGCTTTAGTATCATACCTACCAATCCATCTAAACAGCTATTTCTCCAACATAAGGAAACAGCTGCCAGACTACAATTTATAGCACTGGATGTACGCACTTTTCAAATGGGTTGTAAAAGCCTTCATTTGGCACTTATCAAAGCTCCATGAATGTCTTTGGCTCCCTATCAGAAGGAAATTGCTGTAAAGTGTACAAAACCTTAATATCGCAGGCTGGAGGCCAGAAGTTTGGTTCTTGAGTGAAGAGAAAAGCTTTTACACCACATTTAGCTTATTCTACATCTTTCTAGAATAAAAAAAATTCTACAGAGTATCAGTATACCTTAACACCTGGGAATAATTTTAAAACAAATGTTGCTATAAACTATTTTTCTAGTAAAAGCTTTTTGGAACTCTAACCAGAGAGAATTTATTTTATTTTATTTTTTTAAATAAAGCATGCCTCATTAGTCCTCATATGTAAGAACAGATAGGCTCAATAACACAGCTGAATAGGAATACTATAAATTCTCATGTTTTTAAATGCCATATATAAGAAGTTATTTTTTGAGATATGAATTTGCAGTAATGGTATGTCTTAGGCAAAGAAAAAAAAATAATAAAAATCCATACACTAGGTTGGCTAGTTGCTTATTTTGCAGGGCTTATCTAGCAGCAGGATGTATTTTACAGGAATAAATCAAAAGGCTGATACATTCGCACATCCATTTATTCAATGACAAAAAGTAATATCGATGTATTACTGCATGCTACAAAGCACACACCTGACAGAATCTAACTTTATTTGTAGATAGGTGATAGCCTATTAAAAGTTATGATTGATTATTGCTGCTCTACAGCCAATTTGCTGCATGCAATATGCATCCATCTGACCATTTCTGCATCTAAACTAGCAAACCTGGTGTAGTTTAAATTCAGAAAATGGAAAATGAAAAATGCTGCAAGACTAAGTTCCTTCTCAAACACAAGACTGCTTTCAATCACAGCCCTAAATCACTGTGTGATGAGCTTCCCTCCCATTTTAAAAGCACTGGTCCAGAATGTTCCTTCCTTAACGATATACCAAGTGAATTATTTTTATGGGTATGTGATTTTCAATCCTGAAAAGTATTTATAGGAAAGGTGTGTTTAAGAAGCATTCAGCTTGTCAAGTGGTTAATAAATTAGAATATTCCATACAGCTGGAAAGCATCAAAGGCACAATAGCTTAAAAAGATTGGAATGATTCTCTGTGTAGAAAACAGAAACATCTATGTGTTATAGGCAAAGCATACGTACAATTCCTTCCTCTCAATATGGCAAAAAATGTTAGTTATAGGCCCTCTTGGTTTAGTATAACTTGAAACCCTGACAGAGATAATAAACCAGCAACTTTGCTGACGGAGCCAAAAAAGAACAACTGGAGTGTAGAAGCTGAATCTGGACATTTCTCATTTACTGTCAGAATAACGACACATCCTCTGGGGCAAGGGGGAAGTTTTCATTTCCATGATGCTTATTTGACTTAACTGGGTGCAGTCACAAATTCAGACTTAATAGACAGGATGAGGCAAGGAGTGGAGAGAAGGGGAGGGATAAATGGAGAAAAATCATCTCATGATGAAGTTGAGATTTGGTTATTTTCTTATTTATATTCTGAAAAACAAGCTTTAATACTTTGTTGTTGTTTTTGAACAGAAAAAAACTCCAAAAACTTTGTCAAGCACAATTTTTTTTCCCAAAAAATAACTGGTATTTGAATATCCTCTGTTCCTCTCAAATAGGAAATGCCCCTCTCCCACAACATCATCCTCCACCAAAAAAAAAAAAAAAAAAAAAATCTGAGCTCAATTTTTGACATGTTTATTTAAGGGGAAGGACCTGGAATCAGGATTTGATTACTTTCTCACTTACACTGAGACACCAGGCAAAACAGTTGATCTTTCTGTCTTACACCTGCTTATTTTAACTTGTGAGAGCAAATATGTTTGCTCATATATTTGCAAAGCAGAAATACTTCTTCATACTTACGCTTTAAGTGGGTAATTTTATATGAAAGCACTATTTAACTTTTAGAATTATAGTTATTTCCCCATATCTTTCAACTTTTGTCTCAGAGACAAACACTTTCAATGCTTTATTTACAAAAAGCCAGCACTAATTAAAAAAGATTACTATTATCAATATAAAAAAACCTCCATCAAACAAAAACCCATCTAGCTTTAAAATACTGTAATCTGCATGAACACTGAAGACACTTTGGCAAAGGTCAGCTGTTCCTTGCAATTTCCCCACTTCCCAAATACCTATGGCTTACCAGGAAAACCTTCAAAAGTGATTCTTTCCCCAGGTACCGCCCCTGGTGGGGGAGCCAGAATTTCCACTTTTTCAGGAGAGCTGGCACACATCACCATTGCTTGAGATACTACTCCTCTCATCTTGGCAGGCTTCAAGTTACAGAGTAGTATCGCCATCCTCTTCTGCATCTTGGGGAAAGAAAACAGAAGGACATAAGTACTTGTACTCTGCATGCTTTCAGGGACTGTAATTACTCACTACAGCAGGAGAATGACAAAGAGGCATCTTAACATCCATTAAAGAAGTATACAGCAATAAAAATAAAATTTTAATGTTTGCATGCTAGCAGCAATTAATATTTAAGTCGTTTGAGAGTTGTTCAAAAAATATTCCAAGTGGAATATAGAGTGAAATGTGACAAGCTTATCAGAACAATATAAAATGTGCACTTCAAACAGAAGCTTCCAGCATTTCACCCATGTTCCACCTTTAGAACAGGCCACTCTCAATGTTGCGCAACTAGCAAACAAAATTCCATGAAAAAAATGAAACAAAAACAAACTCTCCACAAGCAATACTATCTTCTTGTTTAATAAGTTCTGCATACTGAAAATATACAGGTGATTTAGATTAAACAGAAGTTATCTTCATATCTTTTAATTTAGCCCAAATGGTTGGAATTTTTTAATACACTGAAAATGGCTGTACAATTTGTGCACAACAATTTGTTAGTACCAAACTGTGAAGACAGGTTTTTTTCCCTGTTGCTGTGCATTAGTAAAATGGCAATGGTAAACCAGAGAAACCACACGTTGTTAGAGGACACAGCAACTTATTAGACTAGAAAACAAACCACATTTTGAACTAAGAAATTAAACCCAGATTGTCCCACAAGACAGAGAATGTCTTATTTCCGATACTGCTAACATATACAAACATTCATAAATATTTATACACTTCAATCTTTGCAGAGTAAGCTATAACTTTAAGCAAAACTGCATGACTAATATTTATTAAAACTCATATGACTAAGTATTCTGAATACTGCACATTTTCCAAGTAAAACATCATAAAAACAAAATACAAAATCTCAAACTAAGCAGTTAATGTAAAACAATAGCCTGAAAATATGCTTGATCTCACAAACATAAATTTCAACACTCTCAGTTGTTAGTTCAACACTAATAATACTAACTGGAAAAAACTTGGCTTTGGAAAGATTACTTTTATATTTCAGATTTTACAACTGAGAAAAGCAGATCACATTAATACATAAACTGCAAGAGTCAGGACCATCAAGTTAATACCAGAGAACAAAAAGTAAAAAAAACACACATAGAAGTTGAACCATTCTTCAATGATAATGCAGCATAAGATTTCTGTATGAGAAGTTATTCATTGCAGAATTAAGAAATATTCATCAATGTTTCAAATATATATTATAATTCCTGGTAAAATGATAGTTATCTTAAATGCTTGACCTTTAAATTAATTTATCTTAAAATACTTTTGACTAACTGCTCTATTCCTAAACTATGTGTATTAATTTAACGGAAAAGAAATGCTACAAACCTTTTAAAATAAAAACTATAACTTGTTTTTACTAAAAAATATTATTTTGCTTCAAACAGCTCAAGTTTTAAACCATGTTCAGACAAATAACAGGTCCCTTTGTAGAGAGAAAAAAAGACTGTAGTGACATCCATGACCTCCATCTATAAACCTATAAGTTAGAGGCACAAAAATGATATTCTAGTTTTTCATAAGCAGTGTAAATTGGAATGTTTACTCACAGATAAGATTAAGCGGAGGAAAAATAAGAAAAGCAATTCCCTTTCCCTGTTCAAGAAAACTTCCATTACAAATACAGAGCAATAGAATCACAGAATGCTTAAGGTTGGAAGGGACCTCTAGAGATCATCTAGTCCAACCCCCTGCACACGCAGGGTCACCTAGAGCACGTGGCACAGGACTGCGTCCAAGCGGGTTTTGGAGATCTCCAGAGAAGGAGACTCCACAACCTCTCTGGGCAGCCTGTTCCAGTGCTCTGGCACCCTCACTGTTAAGAATTTTTTCCTTAAGTTCCTGTGGAACTTTGGATGCTTCAGTTTCTGGACGTTTCCTCTAGCTCTGTCGGTGGCCACCAGTGAAGAGAGGCCAGCACCATCCTCCTCACTGCCTCCCTTGAATTTCCAATACTGAAAGGCAGCTGAAGGGGACACAGATAGTTTTCCTTGCATATTATATGTTTCCTTGTGCATATGTCTCATCTTGCAGTAAGGAAAGTCCTGGCTAAAAACAGCAGGGCAAACATCTATACTTAGAGTAACACATAACAGCAAGCCTGTGCCTCAAGGGAGCCAACAGGGCTTTCCCATATTAAGAGGTGCTTGCTACATTAAATGAGCTGAGAGTAAACAAAGGAAATCCGAATGTTATCTATTTGAAATAATAATGACTCCAGCTGGTCTTCTAAAGATCAAATTCTTTTGCTACAGAAATTCAGGAACTTCAAAATTGACAACTAGACTGCTGAGAAACTACAATAACCAAGACTTTTTGCAGTTTTGCAGAACCACAATTGATTTCTATGGGTGGATACACGGGTATGTGAGGTTCAGAATAAAGTAGTAAGTCAGCAAATTTTCTCAGCACATTGGTAGAATGAAGAGGAAAGCATGGTGAAAAAAGAAAGAAAAGAAAGGAAAAAAAAAGCCACCAATCCAGCAAACAAACAAAAAAGCAGAAAGAGATAGTCCAGAAGGTTATCAAGGAGAAAAAACCCAAGAGCTCATCCTTAAAGGACAAGTGTTAAATTGTTCATTTCCTTAGGTGAGCCTTGAAGTCACCAATCAAGTTACCAACTATCTCCCTATGTGTCAAACAGCATATGTTGGCTAGTGAATAAAATTTAAAAAACAACACAGAGATTGCTTTAAAACCAGAGCAAGCTGCAAATCCAACAACAAAAGTCCTTCTCAATTAATTATGCACTTGTCTGGATCTAAAGTTTGCCAACAAACATAATACATAAATCAGAAACTCTGTTACATAGTTATTTTACCTTTTTCCTACCCAAAAAGGAACAAATTAGTATTTAATACAGACTTGATGCTGTATTTTGTAGTCTTAATGCTATAAAAGCAGTGGAAAATTGTTTTCTTTACAAGGAAAGTGCATTAAATCATATAGGAATTGCCATGAATTTTACCATTGCTCATGCACAAGTCACTGTATACATATGGTTTCCCACTTAAAGCTTTGCTTTCGTTTTCATGACTGTAAAAACTCCTTAACTGAATGAAAACACATAGTATAAATAGCTGAAGGTCAGAGAGACACACCAGGAAGGGAAAGGTTACCAGGATTTATTTTTTTTTTATTTATTTTTTTTTAATACCTGATCCAGAGGAACATGTTTCACTAAGCCACTGACAACAGTCCTTGGGCTTGCTTCACCAACATCCACCTGCTCAACATAGAGGGAGTCTGCATCCGGGTGCTTTTCTGCAGTTATGATACAGCCAACACGAAGATCCAGACGAGAAACATCCACAGGTTTTGCGTCACTACTTCCAGCAGGTTGCTGCTGTTTCTTTTCCTTCTTTTCAGCTAATGACAGAAGTTTAGTTCAAAAAATAAACAAAAACATAAAATCATGTATATGACTACTTGCAAGGGAAGATAATGCTACAATTTCAGAATAAAGTGCAAATTCAGTGTAAGATATCTAGGAACCATACAGAGTTAACAAATCTATCACTATTTTTCAGAAAAAAATTACCTTACAAATTACAATCATAATTTCTTTAATGAATAACAGTCTCTAGGTTGTTAAGATATGTGCATAAAGTGATTACTTAAAATGAGTATATTCTGTTACTTTTCATCCAAGAAAGCTTACTTACTAGCTGCAATTTACTAAACTTCTGTCTTTAGGGAGCAAAAAGTGGACACAGCAGCCTATTCAACTTATTTACCATTACTCTAATACAAGGTCAATAATCATATGTTCAAAAAATTAATAGTAATAGTGGGTAGTATATTTTAACACAAAAATAGCCTTCAAAAATATTTCAACTTATGTATGATGCATAAGAATTATTAAGATTTATGACTGACTTGTAATAAACTACGGCATAAAACAGGGATATACAACAATTGAAGAGCACCCGAACTAGAGGCTCAAGGTTACAGTACACTGAAGATCAAATAGGTCATGAACCTGCACACATCTCATTCTAAAAATCAAAGAATTACACTGCTATATCACCATAATATTCCCATTCTTAAAAACTGTACAAATTAATTCACAGGAAAATAATAATAATTTGTATAACAGAACGAGTGTAAGAGGTGGTTCCACACAGGAACATGTACTTTACTGAAAATATCATAAATTCTTATGTTTTCCTCTCTTAATAACATTTGTTAAATTCATTAAATCAGAGATTTAATAGCCAAAAAAAGACAAACAGAACAAAAAGTGTTGGAAAACATAAACCCCCTATACTCCCCCTCTGTTGCCAAACCAGAGTAAGCAATCTATTTACATCATTTCCCAGTAATTCCTTCTATTCACATAGTCTCATCAGTGCTGACATGGATATATCTTGTCAATGTCTCTAGAAATTTTGCAGGAAGGAAGGAGAAAAAGTCATCTTTATGGGATGTAGAAAACCAATTTTGCACTTCTTTAGTGGTATGTTTTGCTAGTACTTCTTACAAAGCATTTTTCTGAGCTTTTGCTTGAACTGTTTCTATGGCAGAAACAAAACAAAAACACAACTGGGGCTCAGAACAACCAGCAGCTAACCAGCTGCCTCAAAAAACAAAAAAATAGCAAAAAAGTCAAAACCAAAACCACACACACAAAAAACCTCTTCCTATTTTGTCTATAATTGTCTATAATCTATTTTGTCTATAATCTGTCTGCAGACAGATGTAAAGGCAGTTCCATAAATTAAACCCTGTGACTGTCATCTACAATTAAGAAAACATAAGTACCTTTTTTTTCTGCTTTTTCCTTCTTTTTCTTTTCTTCATCTACACCCTTCATTTGATCTTTGGCACCAGGAGAGGATTTGACTGCTGCAGGCTGTGAAACATCTTCCGAAAATGAAGCTGTAGAAATGGCTGTATCAGTAGGAACTGCAATTTGTTTTACTAAAATCAAAAATAAAGAAATTAGAAGTATTAGAACTTGGAAAAATATGATTTTGTAAGTACAAAGCACAGAAGATTTACTTAAAATACATAAACAACTGCAACTGAGTGGTAAAGAGCAACACCACAAAACATCAGCTCTCAGTCTATAGATGACTATTCTGATCAATTAAGGACATTTTTAAAAGCTAAAAACATTTTTAAATGTTTTCATTTATGTTAAAATTTTTAAAAATAAATTAGATAAATGTTAATTAAAATTAAAACACAAGTTTAAAGTAAAAGAATGCTAAGTATAAGAAAATGCAATAAAAAGTCTCTTTTTATTCTGGTACATAATTATATTTGCTTTTGAACTCCTCATTTCTCTGCTTTCTACCTTCCCCTCCTCCTCTTTTTTTTTTTTTGGGTCTGGCTTCAGTTTCTCGCCACTATCTCTTGCCATACTGTAAACTATTCTGCAATTATCTCCCTGTTCACTCCAGCTCTTGCTTCTGATCAACTCCCCTCCCCACAGTCTCCATATTTTCTTCTTATTTCTTTTTAAATGGTTAACACAATTCTTGATACCATCTCAGTATCTACCTAACATGAAAAAAGCCAAGGAATTGACTCCCTTCTACTTTCTATGCTTCAAGTAATCTCATTAGTGCTTTTTCTCACAGCATTGTACTGTAAAATCACTGTTACCAACTGAGTGCCAAACCCTTCCAGTGCTACTACTATACAGTGCTCCATTCTGCATGTTTTTTACAGCATTCTATATTCTTTTTATACTTAGGCATTCTTTACTCCTAAAGACATAGTTGTGCATTCAATTCGATTGATTTTGCAAAAAGATCTGCCTGAATGGCAAAAATAAGCAAAAGAAAGAATACAACTCTATGTTACCGCATTACCTTTCTGGTACTTATGATCCTCTCACCCAGAGGAGATCAGATTTACTCCCCAAATACCTGAGTCTTGAGTCATTTTATTAACAATCACTTGCTTGCTATTTTGCCTGGTAGTTCTGAAAAATCTTTTTTCTTGGGTTTTCAATTTGATCTTTCTGATGTTCTGCATTTATCTGATTTCCATGTTCACCTGCTCGACACTGTCAAAACCAAAATCTCTAATTTACTTCAAAAACATCTAAACCTATTTCTGCTCCATTATACATAAATTACTTAAAGATACTTATTCTTCTATATAAAATAATCTCCTTTGGGAAAATATGCATTTATTTAAACTTCTCTCTCAAGTATAACAGAACCTCTGAAATATCTGACACCTATCAAAAATTACTTCAGATGAACAGACAATGGAGAGGTAGAAACAAATACTTAAGTTTGGTGCACAAAAGATTTATTCACACCCAAAAGAAAGCTAATTCTCTGCATTTATAAAATAGTGATCCCTTTAAGGATGAATGTAATTATGAATATATAGTTTTTAACAGTGAAACAGTCATCATATCTGAATGCCAGCATCCATTTGCACTTAATACCATCTTAGCTAGTTTATTGCATTGATGGTGCCAGTAAAAATGATAATAGCTTTAGAGGGTATAAGAAGCTTTCTTTGAAAACCATCCCAAGGAAAACATGTTGGATTTTCAGCTTTTATCTTTTTCATGTGAAATATGGAATTACATAATGATGGTATGAGCTGAACAGATCAACACAGAGGAGTGCAAACATTGCAATGATGACATTGTCATGGATTTTCTAATAAGTCATTGTCCATTTGTACTTTCGACTATTGATTTTTCCATAGAGATTTGTGTTTACTGCTCAGCATTTTCTGAGGATCAACACACATGAACCAATCAAATCTGGGGCTCATTATGAAAGGCACTGTACAAAAGCACACAAAAACAAGTTCCATGTCTGATTAAGATTTGGCATATACACCTGTCACACTTGCAGCTTACTAAAATGTTTGCAGTAACTCTTAGGTGATTTTTCATAGGCATGGAACCTAGGAAATCCAGACTTTATAAGAGATGCTATCAAGTCATACAAAACAAAAAATGAAAGATCACAAAATATAAACAAAATGACCAGATCTATATTGTGCAAGGACAGGACTCTTCCCACCTCCATTTCGAATTTCTGCCTGAATCAGCTCCTGCTTCAGACCTTCAATTTCTTTCTTCAGCTTAGCATTTTCTACACGGAGCTTCTTCTCTTCTCGGAGAGAAGCCTGCAAGACTAGAGTTGACAGTATATTAAAAATGAGATGCTGCAATAAATAGTATTCATCATTTGTTAGACAGAGGATTCATTTTCAGAAAAAATGAAAACATGGTGAACACGAGAAGTGCCAATTTTCAGGGTGTATATTGTTAGAAATATTTTAGAATCAAACTGACCCCACTGCCCAGCCAAACCACAAGACAGTGAAGAGGTGCTACTATCACAAACTTGATCTTAGAGAGCCTGAAACACACTTAAAAGGCTGCCAGCACCAATGAAGTTGTCTATGCTCTCATTTTTTTCCTATGAGCATTTAATGTTAACCATCTGGCTAGCAAGTTTATCATAATAAGCAGAATTCCTTACTAGCTTTCTCCTTGAGCAGAGCGACTTGCTGCTTGAGGTATTCAATAACTTGATCTGCCTCTGCACCTTTCTGCTCCAGTCTGTTCAACACTGCATTGTTGGTTGCCATCTTTACCAAGAAATGGGCTAAAAACCTAAACAAACAAGAGAGTCTAAAATTAATGATTCCTTAATGTAACTACATTACTATCTCTTACCATTTGAAATCGTTCTAAAATCAGTTGCTGAACAAGAAGATTTGCTAAGTGAACAAGCTGGGCTCCCACCTCCTAGCACAAAGCCCAAATAAAAGGCAATGTTAAAAAGAATCTGATGTTTGACAGCTGCTTTCAAGTATTTTAGAAAAAAGAAAAAAAAAGCTGCTTTTCTTCCCAGCTGCAGAAAACATGTTCTAACTTCATGAAACACAGACAAAAATACACCTTCTGAGAAAGAAAGGTCCAAAGATGTACAGTGAATAAATAGGGGAAAAAAGGAAATAAAAGGTTAGACTGGAGAACAATGCATCCTGTTTTCTATCTGAAAATTTTTGAAGTGTATCCAAAATTCTATTAAGAGTCAGAAAAAAATCATCTCAAAAATTTCCAAACTTCTCCAATAAATGGATTTAGAATGCTTCATAGATTATAGCTGTGCATAAACACCAAAACTTCACTGTTTTACTTTTGAACAGAACTCATCAGTATCTTTCCTCAACTCAGACTAGTGCAACTATTATTACAGATTTCCAGCTTCAGTTTTTCCAGCGTTCACATGCCTTCTCTCATTTTGATTTTACTCATATGGAAGGTAAAGGCACCCAGGTAAAAAGTCCAAGCAGCAGAAAATCCAAGCAGGCAGAAAGGGCAATAGCACAAGTAAATGCTGCCTAGCCTTCTTTCAACGTGTCCAGCTGCTTTTACTGAGGTTCTCTGCTCTTCTGGCAACTAGCTGTGCCCTTACTTGTTTAAAGCCACCAAATTTGTTTCAGTTTCTTCTCTACAACATTTACATCTAATCATAATTGTTCAAATATTAGAGAGACAATAATGAAATAGTAGTCAATCATATATGCGAGAATGTTTTTATGCTCCTATCCAGTACCTAGAAGTTAAGAGAATCTGTATTAAAAGCTGGCACAGCTGTAAATCAAGGAAGAAAAGACATTATAGGTGGGCAGAGAATATGCCTTAAAGATCTTCACTAGTAACAGCAAGGTAATTCCTGTGAATTTGCCCATCAAGTGCACCAAAGGGAAGGAGTAAGGGAAAACAGTAATCTGATTCTATGCTTTGGCTCCTAAACTGTGCAAGTGTCCCAAAACGCCTTTTCTCATATCAAGTTGCCAAGAAAACATCCTGTTTTATCACAAGATTATTTTGACACTGATGTGACATATTAGTGCTCTCTGCTGAGCCACACTGAAGGCGGAACTGGTTGGAAACAACTACAAGGAGAACAAGCACAGTCACACTTGCTCCAGGGGCTGAGCTCTTGGCATCAGCTTGCATCTGAGC